CAATTTGACAATAAATTTCATATATAAATAAAAAAAAAAACAAAGAAAGAGTAAATAATATCTCACACAATGAGGCATCTTAGTGGGAGCCAGCATCCTTGCTTATCAAAGATTTTAAAAGGAACATTTCTTGAATAGCAATGGGATATATGTTCTGTGTACTCATTATTATTATTTGAGGCCCTGAACTTGTCATTCTGAAATGGTTTGACATTTTTTTTTTACATATTTAAGATCCACCCATAAGTAAACTCCATTTAGCTTTAGCTTTTCTATAAAGCTGTATAGTATAAAGTAAAAGTATAAAGGAAAAACAGCTGTTTCTATAGCATGATGGGTACCTTGTATTGAAATCATTTTCTTCTCACATTAATCTTTGATGGCATTGGGTGATACGCTGGCGTCTGTTATCACATTACACAAGGGTGTCCAGGAAAATGTATATATACACAAATGCTCATATAATGCTATACTTCATGGATATGGATAACTTTTAGATAATCACATCTCATATTTAAAATTAAAAATAAAAACCTAACTCTTATTTCTCTTTCTTGAATTTTTTCAAAAACAATTCATGTGTCCCTTTGCCCTTATAGCCAGTACTGCATAAAGACCACAAACCACAATTTGTGTTTTGGTGTTCAGTACACTTAACATAGAAATAATCTTATTATCTACACCATTTCACAAATGAAAAATATACCATAAGGAAGGGGCACTTCCACTTATGCAATCTTATTCCACAGCCATGGCATGTTACTTGATAGTCTGAGGGGATTTTTATGGACAGATTATTTTCATGAGAATTATCTCTAGAGAATGAAATAAAAAAGTATTTACTATATATTTTAAAATATATGCCAAATTGTAGAATTCTGCTACAGTTTATAATCCTCCCTTTTACCACTACAAAGAAATAGACATACAAAAACAAAAACAAAAATGCGTTCCAAGGTCTTGTGTTATCTATAGGACCAAAGTACTGGTTTCACTTTAAATGGAATCAGAAAAAATAGAATTGTGCCTTAATCTTAAATGTCACTTCTTTCAGATACTGGAATTCCAAATATTGGAATAGAAAAAAATGGGACTTCTCATGATAGTACCTCTATTCAAGGTACAGTAAACAGCATACTTCTCTCTATAACTGCCTGATATGAAGTGGGCATGAGTTCCTATATTGATATTCTTTATATAAGTAAAAGAAATAAGTTTAATTCTTACTTTATGGCAGAGGCAGAAGTATTCATGTGTTTTTTGAGATTATATATAGGGACTAATAATTTTACATATACAATGTGAGCAAATTTCTTGTATGTTTAGCTGTTAAAAGGGTGTATATTTATGTGTTAGGCATATTCTAAAAATGCATAAATGTGAATATAATTTACCTTTCTGAAGTGTACAATAGTATACTTTAAAAATATCACTACTGTTTGTAAAAACCACAAGTAGAAAAATAATAAACTATCAATATTTTTAAAGTATTCTAGACAACATTTTTTATCAATCTTTAAATTCTGATGCTAAATTTAGATAACTAGAAACTGTCTAAATATGTAAATAAGACTACAACTTGTTACTCATGATTTTCAGGATTCCAATAAATGCTTAGATCCTTTAAAAATTTTTAAATACTTAGTAGTAAGAAAATATATAAAACAAGTCAATATAGATTTTCACTGGAGTGCAAAATTATCTAAAAATAAAAACCGAATTTAACCGCTGGAGTTTTTCCAGTATGATTCTAATGGAGTTTTCTAGCCCTTTGGATGTAGATTACATTTACTTTCGTGTTTAATGTGAAGAAATTTCTCACTCAAATAAAAACGAAAAGGCATCTCCATGAGAAAATTATTTCTTAACTTCAGAAAGGAAGACAACCATGGATATGTTGCTTGCTAGAGGTTTGACTAATCACTGCCTTTTCACTGTGTAACGAATAGATCTACAAGAAGGCAACAAACTGGATGTGACTGACAAATCCATTTGAGGGTCACCATTTATCTGGCAGCTTCAGGAAATTTAGAAATCTTCATTCATGTAGAGTTGCCCATCATTTTTACAAAATAAAGAATGTCAGAGCTCATGGATCTTCTAGTAATCCCTGATTCTGCTGCAGTTGGGTAGACCTAATAAATACCTTAAGTTTGCTAATTGTGAAAGCATGAATGTTTATTTCATTCAGTGAAACTTCTGCTGTTTCTTATCCCTCTTTTGTTTGCCTGCTTTCTTCCTTTAACTTAAAGGCTGTGTCTATGTGACCAAAGGCAATTTGGATGGGACTCAGTGTTTGTCCAATTTGCCACCGTTAAATTTATGAAGAAAACCCCACTAGTTGTAAGCTACCATTAGCTGAGGTTGCTCCCACATATCAGGGCCAAGGTAGGGTTTAATAAGCCTGAAGCATCTGATGCCTTCTTAATCAGTATAAACCCAGTCTTTAGGGAACATTGAGCTTGATTGTGCCCCCCCTCTTTGAGTGGCATCTAAGGTCAGTTTTGGAACTGGAGGGGGTAAACCAAACATACCATCAGAGGGTTCTCTCTTTATTATCTTTTAATCCTATATTTTCAATTAATTGCTGTTTGTTTAATGTATATGATGCCTTTAATTTGCAACAGTAACATCTTTCCCAACTCTGAATTAATACAAGCTTTTGAACCATCCTAAAGTTATTTCATTTCCATGCAACAAAAACCAGATATCTTACTCATGGGAGGTCAATTGGATAATATAAATCAAAAGCCTTCCATTTGGCTCATTTTTTTTTTTTACTTTAACAAAGTTTGCAAAGGATGGCATTTGCATATTAATTTGTTATTAGGGGATAGAACATTTAATATTTATTTTCATTGAGCATACTTTTAAAAGTTCTACTTTTTGCTGGATAAACATGAGTAAATTAGTTTACCTTTAAAAGGGTTAAAGATAGAATTTATTTTAAAGCAATGGAATTAACTTTTATTATATTTTTCTAATTACAGATAAAATTGTCTAATATTTTTGGTTAATATTGTCAATATATGGCAAAGGAAGGTGTGTTAGAAATCACTTATTGAATGTCAACCATTTAGGTTATATTATATAATATTCTTGTTAAATGTGATAAAAATGGAAAAGTACACATTCTTATCTCAGCATAGCATTTAAGCACTGTAAATGATAAAGTTCCCATCATCAATTTATGGAAAACTAGAGTGAATGCTTCATGTTAATATGACAGTAGAATCACGATTTAATATCTAAAATAAGTTTTTGAGCAAAAAAAAATATTAGCCAGGGGAATAGATGCCTGAAAATATTATTAGACCTATCTTAAGGTGCAGTTCACAAAATCAATCAATTCAAACAATTACCTGTAAATCCTGATATTAGTTATTATTTAAAATGCTCAGAATTCAAAAATTACTTTTATATGTATATATGAACTTCAGAAAATGTGTAACACCTGGAAAACATAAAATACAAACTTAGCCATTATTTTTTCATTCTTTCTAATAGTTTTGCTCTTGTGTGTCATAGTTTTTATCTTTTGTGACTTACTTTGATACTGACTTCATCTTTCCATTTCTCTCAATTACCCATTTTTTACCTTGGAAGATTATTTCCTAATATTGTTTATGAGGGTCAATTCATGCATGCCAATCAAATTCCATTTCCAAAACTCATCTTTATCACAGCAAAGAATACCAACATCAGTGAAGTCTTTTCTCTTTCTATTGTCAATAGCTCTGCTGGATAGAAATATATCAATCACCTAGTGCTCTCACTTGAAATTAAATTAGTTCCAAAGCGATAGATCCTCAAGAGAGTTTAAAGAGGAGTTGGAAGAATGTTAGTTGGTCATATTTAAAAGTAATACAGTCTTATACAGTTTTATGATAATTTTCACATAAAATTTAGTACAAAGATACTTTACAGTAAGTTTCTTATATGTATTCTAAATCTCTTTAGCTTAGTTATTTCATGTCTTTTATGCCTTGAATGTTGGTTGACAGACAAGGTATCTATGCATAAACCACCTTCTGATATAAGGATTTCTGTATACCTTATTTTAGCAGTCTATTACAGCAGCTTCTTCTGAATATTTTAAGGTGATCAAACAATGAATACATACTCATTCTGATGGCTCTGTCCACTATTGCTGGAGGTGAAGGATTCGGTGGAACATATAAACTAACATTCTCCCACCCAGATTCCCATAACTCAGTTGAGGGCTTATAAGACAGTACATTAACCATCTTATCAACCAATCTCTGTTTCACATAAAATAAACATACGGGTATCATTAAATGCACCTTCAGATCAATGATTTTTGCAAATGACATTCAAGTATCGTTTGTGTAGTGCATTTTTGCTGATAAAAACAAAGCACAACTACAAATGCACTGATAAAAACTAAGACTGAACAGCAGTACCATTAACTAACAAAGTAATATTTTCTCTTTCCTGTGTTGTGCCATTTAGTTATTAACCTATTGTAAATCTAGTTATATAATCATTTTACTCCCTAGTCAAACTTCATAGTTTTTTCAAGCTCAGCACTGACAAGTGATTTCATTACATTTGATTACCCGCACCCAGATTGACTTAACTTCACTTGGAGACCTAAAACCCTCTCAGTTTCTCAGATTCCATATTTGCACATTATAGCAACAGCTCCTTTAATTAATTAGCATGAACAGCAGTAATATGAACTGCTGAACAAAACATAACAGCATGTTATGATCACAGGGAGACTTCCCCTTTTGCATGTTTATACCTTGGTTAACTTTTGTATGACTGTATTTCATTGTTAGGGGCTACTGGTGCAGTTGACAGTGCATGTTTCTTGAATTTTTGAGAATTGACACCATCATCTTAATAATAACAGATAAAGCAAATCCAGGATATGAAGCTCTTAAGTTTTAGAAAAAAACATAACAGACTTCATGAACTGACATTCTAGTAATAAAAGAAAATCATAAAAAAAAGTTCAAGGGAGATAGCATCGTAAAGTGCAAGAGCACAGTGACAGATTACTTCTGTTTCTGTCATTGTATTTGCTTTGGGGAAAGAAAACAAACTAGCAACTGCTTTTCCGAGAGGAATATTAATCTCTGTGAATAATTTTTACATTTGCTTTTTTTTGCCTACATGTTTGACACACCAGAAGTAGATATTAAGTGCAACCTACATGTAAAAAGTAAACCCAAATTTGATGCAAAAAATAAATATACTAAAAATTTTTCCCTGCTGAACCATTTTTGTTCAAAAAATGTGAAAGCTTAGTCAGAGAATATACACTAACCATTGTAAAATACAAAATGCATGATCTCATCCATACAGCTCTTGGTGAAGATGCCGCTGAAGAATTAAAAGCAAGGTAACTGAAGTGTCATTTGACTCTAAAAGCAGCAGACACAATTTTAACACTTCTTTGCTAAAAATACCCTTATTATATCTTACAGTGTAATTTAATATATATTTATAATGTAAAAATTTGAATATATACTTATACTATGAAATACATATGAATATGTATATTCTCATCTACTCTCTCAAAATCCATTTGAGCAATGTCTGGCCTTCCTTGACCTTTTAAACTTCCTTATATTCTCTCTTTCCTGCTCATTTGGTAACCTAGAATAACATTTCTCCAATGAGCTTAAGGTAGAATGCCAATATTTACTGAAAACAATTACACTTGGGCTAAGATTGTCATTTCAGAATTTTGTATAATAGCATAGAAAGTGATGATAGGAGCAAGTAAGGAGACTGGAAAAGATAAATCAAATATATTACTTGCCATGTATATGATATGACAAGAAAAACTAAAGGGAGAGAAGGTAGAATTTCTCTATAGGCTTTTCTACTAACTCCCACCACATTGTGCTCTACATCTTTCTCTTGGGGTTCCATAGACTACTTCCTGCCCTATCCTCATCAATCATTAATTGTCCTCCCCTTTTATGTCTTGTACTATGTTGGAAGGTATACATAGGCACTTTAATATTCCCATTTTAAAGTGGAAATGTTCTTTTGTAAAGTGTCTAGAGTGTCAGAGATTCGAAAGATTGTGGTAAGTGGGTCTTCTTTCCTCTTAAATGCTTCATTTGAGAGTAAGAGCCTTTT